CTGCTGTGTCCGGAGGAACACCGATCGCTGTACGGGACCTCTGTGTGAGGTTCCAATCATGTGATCACTGATTGGCCAATCAGTGATAACATGAATAGGTGTAAGCAAGATGTCACTCGTGACATCATTGCTTACTACGTGTGAAATCTGTGAATCACAGCTCACACAGTATTTCTCAATGGCTACAAGAATGCAGCCAGAGAGAAAGAGAAATGATTGCTTTTACAGCCTTTATGGGTGTAAAAGCAATCAGTGTTAAAAAAAAAAAAATCTTTCATCACCCCCCACAAGTAGTACAGTGTCACCATGGTGACCCCACACTGCTAGGGTGACAGCATGTTAAAAAAAAAAACCAAAAATATTATTTTAAAAAAAAAAAAAAAGTTAAAAAAAAATTTGAAAAATTATAATTTTTGCTTATAAGCTAATTGGGGTTCTTTTTTTTTTACTAAAAAGATAATTGAATACATTTTGGCCAAGATTTATGAAGAAAGATTTATTTGCAAAATGTTATAAGAAAAACTTTTTTTCAAAATTTTTGGACTTTTTCATTTATATAGCTAAAAAAAAACAAAAATCCCAGTGGTGAATAAATACCACCATAAAGTTTTTATCTGTCTCAAAAAAATGCAAAAAAATTCAAATGGGTTACAGTGTTGCATGACCGCGCAATTGTCATTCAAAGTGCGACAGCGCTGAAAGCTGAAAATTGGCCTGGACAGGAAGGGGGGAAAGTTTTCCGGACTAGAATGAGGGAAAAGTGCTCGGACTGGAAGGGGGGGAAAGTGTCCGGACTGGAAGGGGGGGAAAGTGTCCGGACTGGAAGGGGGGGAAAGTGTCCGGACTGGAAGGGGGGGAAAATGCTCGGACTGGAAGGGGGGGAAAGTGTCCAGACTGGAAGGGGGGAAAGTGTCCGGACTGGAAGGGGGGAAAGTGTCCGGACTGGAAGGGGGGGAAAGTGTCCGGACTGGAAGGGGGGGAAAGTGTCCGGACTGGAAGGGGGGGAAAATGTCCGGACTGGAAGGGGGGAAAGTGTTCGGACTGGAAGGGGGGGAAAATGTCCGGACTGGAAGGGGGGAAAGTGTCCGGACTGGAAGGGGGGGGAAAATGTCGGACTGGAAGGGGGGGAAAGTGTCCGGACTGGAAGGGGGGGAAAGTGTCCGGACTGGAAGGGGGGGGAAAGTGTCCAGGACTGGATGGGGGGTGAAAGTGTCCGGACTGGATTGGGGGGGGGAAGTGTCCGGACTGGAAGGGGGGAAAGTGTCCGGACTGGAAGGGGGGGAAAGTGTCCGGACTGGAAGGGGGGAAAGTGTCCGGACTGGAAGGGGGGGAAAGTGTCGGACTGGAAGGGGGTGAAGTGTCCGGACTGGAAGGGGGGGAAAGTGTCCGGACTGGAAGGGGGTGAAAGTGTCCGGACTGGAAGGGGGTGAAAGTGTCGGACTGGAAGGGGGAAAGTGTCCGGACTGGAAGGGGGAAAGTGTCCGGACTGGAAGGGGGGGAAAGTGTCCGGACTGGAAGGGGGGAAAGTGTCCGGACTGGAAGGAAGGGAAAGTGTCCGGACTGGAAGTGGTAAAGAGACTTGTATATAGTTCCAGGAAGATTGTCCTCACTTCCCGTTCCCTTGGGTATCCCATACAGCGCTTACCCCATCCAAGCTCCTATTCCCCTGGTTGTTATCTCCTGGATTCAAGTCTGTGTGGAAAATGCATGTTGCCTGGCTGTGCAGGACTATAGGGGGACTCAAATCTCTAGCGACTCCTAAGGGGGTAGTGCTACACCTCTTATCCAGTTCTTAGACAACCAACATCTAAACATTGGATGAAGTTGTCTGTCCTACCTGTCTAGATATAAATCTTGGGATATTTTCTTGACACTCACCTAAGAAAGTGGTTTGGCCACGCTAGGAAACGTCTTCAACATTGCAGAACAAGTCCAGTTGGATGTGACTAACTAATGTATGTACCATGATCTGGACCAGGGGCGGACTGATAACTCATGGGGCCCCGGGCAATAAGAGATCATGGGGCCCCTGTGTCCTCGCCCACACTCAAACCACACCAAATGAAAGGTACCAGGGGCTTCTCATGGGGCCCCCTACTGACCCTGGGCCCTTGGGCAGTGTGCCCGAATGGTCAGTCCGCCCTGACCTGGACACATGAGTACATTCACAGACAGCAGATACAGTGATTCATGACTTTCCTGCAGCTGATTACAAAACGTTCATTAGCACACAATCACTGGACAAAGTTAAGCAGAGTAATAACTTCACAGCAGGATATAGAAATAGGGGTGGGCAGCTACATGGCAAATGAGGGCTCATGTACACGGGGCATTTGAAAAACTTTTCTGACCGCTGGAAAACTGACTGCTAGAAAATGTAGGTTAAAAATGTCAGTTTAGCCGCGTTTACCTATCATGTTTATGTGCATTCAGCCGTGTTTACGTGCGTTTGCGCTTAGAAGCGTTTTTTAAAAGATAACCTCAGGAGACCTTCCCAAATGCCCAACATGCACTGAAAAATAGTAAATAATTAACTATTTCAGACATTTTGTGAGAAACAGAGAGAGCAGAAGCAGAGAGCAGTATGTGTGGATGATGACCGGTCTTTTCTGGTTGTATTCACTATGGATCCCATCATGAGCATAATGCGGCGCGTTCTACCATTGTTTCCTTCACGCCAAACCTGGAACTGACTGCGCGGTGTACCGGGTCCATTAGAATACATGAAAAACGCTTTGCATGCATTTTGGATGAAGAAAAAAGACTCCGGACAGCATCTGGTTATGGACCAGGCCAAAAACACATCTAAACGCAAACGTGCATAAACGCGTTTACAAGCGTTTGGAACGCCGGTAAACTCTACTCCTGAACGCAATTTTTATGCTTTCAAAAAAAAAAATGCCTGTAACCTCAACTGTCTGTAATCGATGATGTGTACACGGACACATAGGAACACAATAGGGAGAGTTCAGGGGCTGCTGGACAAAAAAAAAAACGCAAAACTGCTCGTAAACGTCAGTTTATCAGCTGCAGTGCACATGAGCCCTTAATGTTAAAAAATGTAAAGTAATGCACTTGGGGGGCTAAAAATCTGAATACAAGTTACTCACTAGGGGGAAAACTTTGGGGAATCCAGAATGGAAAAAGATCTGGGGGTCCTAGTAGATGAAAGACTCAGCAATAGCATGCAATGCCAAGCTACAGCAAAGCTAGCAGAGTCTTTGTACGCATTAAAAATGGAATCTCCTCAAGAGACAAGACTATAAATCTACTGTTCACAAATCCCTGGTCAGTCCACATCTGGAGGATCCCGTCCAGCTTTCTGGTCACCAGTCCTCAGGAAGGATGAGGATGGAACTGGAGAGAGTCCAGAGAAGGCAACAAAGTGAATAATGAGCCTGGAGGACCTCAGTTATGAGGAACGACTACAAACATCAAATGTGGAGGAGATACAGTGAGATAGCAATATACAAATACCTCAATGATGATTCTAGGAAGTAAAAAAGAAACTATTCAGTCTCAGAAAGCTTAAAGTGGCACCCTGCACTCACTATATCCGCTCTCCCCGGACCCTGCACTCACTATATCCGCTCTCCTCCGGACCCTGCATTCACTATATCCGGTCTCCCCAGACCCTGCATTCACTATATCTGCTCTCCCCGGACCCTGCAAATTCACTATATCCGGTCTCCCCAGTACCCTGCATTCACTATATCTGCTCTCCCCGGACCCTGCATTCACTATATCCGCTCTCCCCAGACCCTGCATTCACTATATTCGCTCTCCCCCCCGGGACCCTGCATTAACTATATCCGGTCTCCCCGGGCCCTCATTCACTATATCCGCTCTCCCCGGACCCCTGCATTCAGTATATCCGCTCTCCCCGGACCCTGCATTCACTATATCCGGTCTCCCCAGACCCTGCATTCACTATATCTGCTCTCCCCAGACCTGCATTCACTATATCCGCTCTCCCCAGAACCCTGCATTCACTATATCCGCTCTCCCCGGACCCTGCATTCACTATATCCTCTGAGTCCCCGGACCCTGCATTAACTATATCCGGTCTCCCCGGCCCCCTCATTCACTATATCCGCTCTCTCCCCGGACCCTGCATTCACTATATCCGCTCTCCCCGGAACCCTGCATTCACTATATCTGCTCTCCCCGGACCCTGCATTTCCCTATATCTGGTCTCCCCGGACCCTGCATTCCCTATATCTGCTCTCCCTGAACCCTGCATTCACTATATCCGCTCTCCCTGAACCCCGCATTCACTATATCCTCTCTCCCCGGACCCCGCCGCATCACTATATCCGCTCTCCCCAGACCCCGCATTCCCTATATATGCTCTCCCCGGACCCGCATTCACTATATCCGCTCTCCCGGACCCCGCATTCACTATATCCGCTCTCCCCCAGACCCGCATTCCCTATATATGCTCTCCCCGGACCCCGCATTCACTATATCCGCTCTCCCCGGACCCCGCATTCACTATATCTGCTCTCCCCGGACTCCCCGCATTCCCTATATATCCGCTCTCCCCGGACCCCGCATTCCCTATATCTGGTCTCCCTAGACCCTGCATTCACTATATCCGCTCTCCCCGGACCCTGTATTCACTATATTCCGCTCTCTCCTAGGGACACCGCATTCACTATATCTGGTCTCCCTGGACCCTGCATTCACTATATCCGCTCTCCCCGGACCCTGCATTCACTATATCCGCTCTCCCCGGACCCTGCATTCCACTATATCTGGTCTCCCGGACCCTGCATTCACTATATTCTGGGTCTCCCCGGACCCTGCATTCACTATATCTGCTCTCCCCGGACCCTGCATTCCACTATATCTGGTCTCCGCCCCGGACCCTGCATTCACTATATCTGCTCTCCCCGGACCCCTGCATTCACTATAGCCGGTCTCCCTGGCCCCCGCATTCACTATATCTGGTCTCCCCCGGAACCTGCATTCACTATATCCGGTCTCCCCGGACCCTGCATTCACTATGTCCGCTCTCCCCGGACCCTGTATTCACTATATCTGGTCTCCCCGGACCCTGCATTCACTATATCCGCTCTCCCCCGGACCCCGCATTCACTAATCTGGTCTCCCTGGACCCTGCATTCACTATATCCGGTCTCCCCGGACCCTGCATTCACTATATCTGGTCTCCCCAGACCCTGCATTCACTATATCCGCTCTCCCCGGACCCTGCATTCACTATATCCGCTCACCCTGGACCCCTGCATTCACTATATCCGCTCCCCTCGGACCCTGCAGTCACTATATTCGCTCTCCCAGGACCCTGCATTCACTATATTCCGCTCTCCCAGGACCCCGCATTCACTATATCGGTCTCCCCGCACCTGCACTCACTATATCCGCTCTCCCCGGACCCTTGCATTCACTATATCCGGTCTCCCCGGAACCCTGTATTCACTATATCTGGTCTCCCGGACCCTCCATTCACTATATCTGCTCTCCCACAGTACACAGAGCATGTAAATGCTATTATTTTAGTAAATATAAACAGTTTTCTCAAGCAGTCTTGTGACTTCAGCAGAGCACTGGTTAAAGCTTGTAGGAGGAGGTTTCTTTCTGCTCTAGGAGGATGCAGAACCCCTGACTCTGTCTGGACAATGCTGGTTGGCCCTGTGCTGGTCACATGCACTCTCCCAAGAAAAAAAAGCCTCTATAGCAATACACATCAAACTGAGCATGCGCATGTGACTACGGGTTCAGTCTGTCTTATCAGGTGGACATTTGAACTAGTGGAGGAGCAGAGAAAACAGGTCAAAACAGCCTTTATACACAATGCAGAGGATTAACCCCTTAGGTTCCACAGTGAGTATAACAAAGCATGCTTTACTGCATCTACAGACTGATATGTACTGTTGGGGGGTTTAGTAACACTTTAGGAGGACACAGGGCCAATGAATTTGGGAGAAGCAGTTTACCCTAAACTGCATAGGGGGTTCATTACTGTCAGAGCAGTAAGACGTGGAATTCTCTTCCACAGTTGGTGGTGTCTGCAGGAAGCGTGGATAATTAAACAAACCTCTTAGATGAGGATCTGAGGATGAAGTGAACGCAATATACAGGGATATGGGAAATGGGATTGACGTAAAGACACAACATGACCCCTCACCCACACTGGAAGACCTGGATAAACTGGTGTCTTTATCCAACCCAGGGGCGGGGACTGACCATTTGGAAATTCGGGCACTGCCCGAGGGCCCGGGGCCAGTAGGGCCCCATGAGATGCTCATGGTACCTTTTTTCATAGGCTCTTTTGAGTTGGGCAAGGACACAGGGGCCCCATGATCCCCTATTGCCCGGGGGCCCCATGAGTTGTCAGTCCACCCCTGATCCAACCCCACCAGCTATGTAACCGTGTAATTGGGCACAATCATATGTAATTGACAACTAATCCAACCAATCTAAGATCCTTGTTTTTCTCCCATTCTTTGATGCATTTTATCCTCCTCTACAGGTTTCCCGATGAGCACGTTGTCCATCTGGTTTGTGACCTATTGTGGAGTTCAGCTGATCAAGGAGCGAGAGCGAGTTCTGACCATAGATGCGGAGAGGGACTGAGAAACAGAAAGCTGCCTAAATTATGGGGCTTCTCCAATAGAATCGAAGCAGCTAGCCGCCGCCCTGGGCAGAAGAGGCGGAGTCTACTCCGCCCTAGAGCACCGCTACAATCCAACCTAATGCACAATATCAATCAACCCCGACAACTGTTGTAGATTTAATAAAATATTTTCTATAAGGATCTGTGGTATATTTTTACTTCTTTATTAGGATAGTTACATAGTTAGTCTGGCTGAAAAAAGACAAAAGTTTATCCAGTTCAACCATTTGCAAAAAAAAAAAAGTTTATAATCCTACACCCACAGTTGATCCAGAGGAAGGCAAAAAAAAAATCCAGCAAAACACGCTCCAATTTGCTCCTGCAGGGGAATCAATTCCTTCCTGATCCCCCGAGAGGCGATCAGATATTCCCTGGATCAACTTTACCTATAAATGTTATATCCAGTTATATTCTGTGTATCCAAGAAAGAATCCAGGACTTTCCTACAGCAATCCACTGAGCTGGCCACAACCATCTCCTGAGGGAGTCTATGTATTATACATGGAGATCATATCCCCCCTTATGTATTATACATGGAGATCATATCCCCCCTTATGTATTATACATGGAGATCATATCCCCCCTTATGTATTATACATGGTGATCATATCCCCCCCTTATGTATTATACATGGAGATCATATCCCCCCTTATATATTATACATGGAGATCATATCCCCCCTTATGCATATTATACATGGTGATCATATCCCCCTTATGTATTATACATGGAGATCATATCCCCCCTTATATATTATACATGGAGATCATATCCCCCTTATGTATTATACATGGAGATCATATCCCCCCTTATGTATTATACATGGAGATCATATCCCCCCTTATACATGGAGATCATATCCCCCCTTATGTATTATACATGGAGATCATATCCCCCCTTATGTATTATACATGGAGATCATATCCCCCTTATGTATTATACATGGAGATCATATCCCCCCTTATGTATTATTACATGGTGATCATATCCCCCTCCTTATGTATTATACATGGAGATCATATCCCCCCTTATGTATTATACATGGTGATCATATCCCCCTCCTTATGTATTATACATGGAGATCATATCCCCCCCTTATGTATTATACATGGTGATCATATCCCCCCTTATGTATTATACATGGAGATCATATCCCCCCTTATGTATTATACATGGAGATCATATCCCCCCTTATGTATTATACATGGAGATCATATCCCCCCCTTATGTATTATACATGGAGATCATATCCCCCCTTATGTATTATACATGGAGATCATATCCCCCTTATGTATTATACATGGAGATCATATCCCTCCTTATGTAATTATACATGGAGATCATATCCCCCCTTATGTATTATACATGGGGATCATATCCCCCCCTTATGTATGTTCAGTGGGCAGTCACGTAATGGTGTAAGCACGGTTCTATGCAAGCAGTCTCCTGAGTCTAGGGAAGCTTGAAAACTGACCCTCGGGGAGGCGGGTCCTTGGCACTCTGCACTCACAGGGAGTGGGTGGAATCATGCAGGACGTCATTAGGCCTGACAGAGGAGAGGGATCTGGATCTCAGAGTGGTGAGTCTTCTGAAGGCAGCATCGGAGATAGCGGGAGTATTGCTCTGAGAGCTGCTTTTTAATTCTATCTGTGTGTAGTGAGGAAAAGCAAAGACTCATAAATTGCAGAAAATCTCAAAACAATGACCCAACATAAGATGGAAACTTCTAACAGGTCAAGGCTCAGCAGTCTTCCTCCCACTGACACCAACGATGGGGCACTATTCCTCCCACTGACACCAACGATGGGGCACTATTCCTCCCACTGACACCAACGATGGGCCACTATTCCACCCACTGACACCAACGATGGGGCACTATTCCTCCCACTGACACCAAACGATGGGGCACTATTCCTCCCACTGACACCAACGATGGGGCACTATTCCTCCCCACTGACACCAACGATGGGGCACTATTTCCTCCCACTGACACCAACGATGGGGCACTATTCCTCCCCATTGACACCAAATTATTGGGCACTATTCCTCCCACTGACACCAATGATGGGGCACTATTCCTCCCACACTGACACCAATGATTGGCCACTATTCCCCCCACTGACACCATGATTGGGCACTATTCCTCCCACTGACACCAATGATGGGGCACTATTCCTCCCCACTGACACAATGATTGGCCACTATTCCCCCCACTGACACCAATGATTGGGCACTATTCCTCCCACTGACACCAATGATGGGGCACTATTTCCCCCCCACTGATACCAATGATGGGGCACTATTCTTCCTACTGATACCCAACGATGGGGCACTATTCTTCCCACTGATACCAACGATGGGGCATTATTCCCCCCACTGACACCAACGATGGGGCACTATTCTTCCCACTGACACCAAATGATGGGGCACTATTCCTCCCACTGGCACCAATGGGGCACTATTTTCCCACTGATACCAACGATGGGGTACTATTCCTCCCACTGACACCAATGATTGGCCACTATTCCCCCCACTGACACCAATGATTGGGCACTATTCCTCCCACTGACACCAATGATGGGGCACTATTCCCCCCACTGATACCAACGATGGGGCACTATTCTTCCACTGATACCAACGATGGGGCACTATTCCTCCCACTGATACCAACGATGGGGCACTATTCCTCCCACTGACACCAACGATGAGGCACTATTCCTCCCACTGACACCAATGATGGGGCATTTATTTCCTCCCACTGACACCAGTGA